AGAGAGAGAGAGAGAGAGAGAGAGAGAGAGAAAGAAAGAAAGAAAGAAAGAAAGAAAGAAAGAAAGAAAGAAAGAAAGAAAGAAAGAAAAGAGAAAGAACAAACTTCCTTCTGAAGCTGCTTTGCTTTGGCCAAGATCTTCTAATTTTTCTCTCCCAGTAAGACTTAATGTACTGTGCGACAAACAATCTTAGCATGTAAATTTACACAGTCAGGCAAACTTACACACACATAGATTTCAGTTTAAATGATACCTTCGATTTTTTCCAAGACTTCCCTGCTTTGCCCTCCAGATCAGCTAAGTAATATCTTCCTCACTGAGTCCTTCCTAGGGCAATTCTCTAGGCTCAGGTGTAGGCTTCAATTGAAATTTGTTCTCCTTGCAATTTGCTGATATTCCAGGATCCTTCCTCTACTGTGTCCCTCAACCAGAAAGATTCTGAACTGTGAGGATCTGCCTTTCCCACTTTGGGTTGGCTTTTCTTCAGTACTAAAGTCAACACATATGTACTGTGTGTGCCCACATGCACGCATGCACACGCGCACACACACACACACACACACACACACGCCAGCATGTCCTTTGAGAAGAATTATTCTTTTCTCACAAATCCTTATCATCTATATCCAGATTCACCACCCACTTCAACACAGAAGTGTAGTCCCAGAGTAAAAACTGCTGTGAGCAGAACCCTACGACAAACAGGCACCAGGATGCAGCTGCTTCCATTAGCAGGCGAGGCTGTGGGTGGGTGGGAGAGGTGTTCTAGCCCCCAAGTGGGGATGAAAACAGCTCTAGGTGCTGGGAGCTGAGGAAGTGGATACCGACATCAAGAAGCCAGCAGAAATGAGCTGCCTGGTTTATGCTGTTGTCTGGTCCAGCCCTTACAGCAACACGTCCATAGTGAATGCACATTTCTGTAACTGACAGATCTCTTTAAACTTCAGACTGTAAATTTAAGCCTTTAGACCACTGAGTAATGAAAGCATAAAAAGTTAAACCAAGATTTATAGTTCTGATGGAAGAAATATACACATGAGTATATATGAATATACACATATATACACATGCATACATACACAGATATATATATATATATAGCACATGTGTGTGTATATATATATATATTTTTTTTTTCAATCACACAATTTAGACTTCTTTTGGGGAGAAAATTTGCTTAAACAAAATCCAAAAGAAAAACCTTTAGGCATTAATGAAAAAGGCACCTTATAGACAAACTTGTCCTGGGTTATTAGAAGGTATATAAGAACAGGAAGCTTCCCAAGAGCTGAGCACTTAGCTAATGTAAGTGTTTAAAAACTGTACGTGAAGTTTCAGAAACATCTGCCTCTCAAGCTCTGAGTAACACTGTTATCTGTGAGCACCTAAGTTCAAAATCCTGATACAGTTAAAAAAATTTAAAACCCAGGGTCAGGTCAGGACAGCACAAAAGCACTTAAAATAGCTTGTCTGAGGACTTGGGGTCATTTAAGGTTGGCATTCATTACTGTGTATTCCGTGAAATATCCAAATAACCAGAGAAAAAGAAAGTCAGTAGATTAGATAGCTTGATAATAAAAAACAGCTTGCTTGCTTTTATTTATTTGTTTATTTATTTATTTATTTATTTATGCCAAACATCACTGAGGTGTTTGTAGCAAAATTACATTTCAGGGAGGAATCAATTTTAAATAGATTAGCAGATTCCAATGAAGTAAATTCCCAATGAATATTTAAAAGGGGGTGGTAAATTCTTAGAGAAGGAATCTGTATCTCAGAAAATAGATTGCACAAACCTGCTGAAGAAGATAAAGACAGATAAGCATGCAAAATATGAGCCACTCTCACTGGGAGTTTATTTAACTCTCAAAAAAACGATGTTACTCTTCTTCAAAGGGAACAATAGGAAAACCCACTCTTTGCTTAACCTCAGACATTTTTAAAATGAGTATTTATTGCATAGAAGGTCCAAGAAAATGTTATTAACTTTTAGAAGATTCACTGTCTTTCACTTGCACCATTATTTTCAAGTAATATAGGCACAAGGTGAAAATTCTAATAGTGCAAAAGAATGTAACAGGAAAAGAAATTTTCAAGTTCCTTACCTCAGAGGATTGCTGTCTTTAAATTGGTGTCTGGGAATTAATAAGCATATTCACAATGTGATTATACACACATATATGGGAATACATGAGAACAAACAGATTCATGTGCTGTTATGGCTTGTGCCTAGATGTCCCCCTAAAGCCTCAGGTAGTCATACGTGGAGCTTTGCAGAGGTGGTTGTATCTAGAGTGTGTGGTGCAGGGATCAAGGGTATGTGATTACTAAATTAGACCCTGATTGGTTTGGCATAGTTCTAGATGCGGATAATGGGAAGGCCCACCCTAGGTGTGAGTGATACCTGAGGGTGTAACCTGGACAGAATGTAAGAGACAGAAAGAGGGCTGCTGCTTGATGCTTTTGTTGCCTTCTGTCTGCCATGGACTGTTTCGCCTTTGCAATGCCCTTCCGCCATGTCACCTTGGCGTGTAGCCAGCCAGTGATGGACTGAAGTCTCTACAAACCATGAGTCAAAATAAAATTTTCCTTCTTTAACTTTGGGAGTTGGGTATTTTGTCTGAACAATGAGAAAACTAAATAAGACATGTGCTCATACACACATGCATGCATGTACATGCATGCATGCACACGCATGCACACACACATACACCTGGTGATTTGGGGCCTGTTTTATTATTACCCAAATGGTATACTGTTCGGTGTTCTGCAGTTTTCATGTGATCATTTGTCTTCAAAGTCATTCCAAAGTAATCCACACATTCATGTGAACTCGCCACTTATTTAACCACTCCCTATTGCTGGCACTTAGGTCCCTCCCTCCTTTAACTGCTGAACACTACTCTGCCACTTATTCTTCTGCATCCACCTTGTACATGTGGGATAAACTCCAAAAAGGTGCAATCCTGTGTCAGTGCGTGTGTGCATTTAAATCCGGATGGACAATGCCAAACTGTGTTCCACAGACACTGCAACTATTTGTACCTGTCTTTAAAATCCAGTTGTCATACGGTCAAGTTGGTGTGTGAAATCCTTAAAATCTCTGTGTACCACAAGCTGGGGGAAGGACTCAGAATAGAACAGTCCTTGATGCAGGAATGATACATTCACATGTACAGAATTTAAGAAGCAAAACAAGCTAAATTTAGGACTCTGAAGACTTTTTTAAAATAGAAAACAAAACAATATAATATTAAAAAATTAGAAAAAGCAGGTAAGATGAGCAGAAAAAAGCACACATATGCATATCACCATGTGTTTCCATTCATACACTATTCTAGGCAATTCTCTTGAATGCCTGTGAATTAAGTGGACCAAGTTATATGGCTCCCACTTAATACTGGAGAAAATTGAGCCTCAGATTAAGAGACAAATCACTGGCAGTTGTCTCAGGATCAACCTGAGTTATAGGCAGCTTGCACCAGGATTTCCCAAAACTTTATGAAATTTTGATAACTCAGATTGTTTAGTGAAGAAGCAAACAGAAGAGGGCTTATTACAAAATGTTCTGGGCTTATATTTCTCCAGAGCTAAAATGTTCAAATTTAATCTTATATTTCTTGGTTTGTCCTTAAAATGGCCCAAGTACCTCTTGCCTGTCTCAAAAAAGTTTTTTAGAGGATATATTAGTTACAAAATAAAGCCATCTCCAATATTTAGGCAATTCTATAAGCAATCCTAACCACAAAATATTAATGAAATGCCAGCATTCATGTAGTGCAAACCTCATCTTACAGATAAGAAAACTAAGCCTAAGCCTCACAGAGAACTTGTCTAAAAGTATAACAGAAACCATATATTCAATAAAGTAATTTGCAATGTGTTACCAGAGTGAATTAATGTACTTACCCCATACACAAGTTGTATAGAAAAGAGAAGGAGTATAAACGACCTGTGGAAAAACAAGAATGCAAGTTAATTCACACTGTTCATTTCCCTGTGAAACAAACTAAAAAGAGAGTGAAGCAATTAATTCCAGACAGCGTTTATTTTCCATTTCTAACAGGTACTCCTACCTACCAGCTGGTTCATCACCAGGGACAGCGCAGATGCTACCCTCTGTCCGGCTGCCATCACTACCTTTCCTCTTCGTTAGCGGTCAAGAAAGACACATGGAACACCTTTAAGTGTGATCCTCGCTGTGCTGGGGACTGTGGGGACATTCTGAATCCAGAGGTGAGGGAAGGGACCTGACTGGACAATGAAAACTAGAGCAGGAAGGATCCCATGTTCGGGACACTGCTGAGACCAGTGTGTCCTGGACGTCACTAAGTGGAACAAATCCCAAAGGAGGGTAGGCAGAAGGAAATCTAGCTGGACTGGAAGAAAGATCTGGAGGAAAAGGGAAATGATATGAAAGCATTAGGGAAGAGTTAGGTGGTCCAGGACCTTACAAGTAAGGTAGAAATCCAACTGGGGTGACATCATTAATACCAGCTGATTTTAACATAGAAGAGATACAATCAAAAAAGACCACCAAGCATTCACAACCATTTTTGTTAGTTCTTATGTCTGTCAAAGACCTTCAAGTTCCATCACCTCATCTGACCCTTAAAACAGCTGTGACGGAGTTGTATCTTTAGGTACCTCATCCCCGTGATCTTAGAACACAAGCCCAGGCCTGCCCTTGGTTCTGTGCAGAGGCTTTTTGTCTCTGGACCCCACGACACAAGTGAGTCTTTCTTCTACATCCTCCAATCCTTCCTCTTGTGCTGACGTGCTGGTAAACACTACAGAAGTCTACAGTGCAATCTAGCTTTGTAGATGGATCCATAGGTGGGTGAAGGGACCTCACTTTACAGTGGAAACCAGAGGACCCTGGGTGTGACCCTGATTAGAAGATAGGAGCTGGAGGCTTGGTATAACCTATATTTTCCAGCTTCTACTCTGAAACCTCTCTTTTCCCAGACATTCTATTGTAGCTCATGATCACTGCAGTGAAGGCCCGGTTGACATTTCAATATATTAACTAAGTGAACTGAGGGGAAACTATGAAGGAGGTGCTGAATCCAGGGAAGAAACTGCTTTAAATCAAGTTAAACTTGTATTTACAAGTATCGCTTGTTAAATGTGTTCTTATCCCTTGGGACATTTGCAAATGACATAGGTTGTATCTTAGTAAAGTGTGGTCTCCGTTTAATCTCATTAAACCTATGGGCATGGCACATTTTTTCAACCTCTCACAGAAGGGCTAACTGACTCAGAAATGTTAGAGGTTATAGGCAAAGTCGTCCCCTAAGGATATAGGTCATGTCAGGTCCGAATCACCCTACTGTCTGCTTGTTCTTCTCACTGAAGTAGCTATTAAAAAATAAGATCGTTTCCCCCTTGCCATGTACCATAAAATATTCACGGGTTCCAGATATTAAGATGTGGACATGGGTAGGAGCCATTAGCCTGCCTGCCCCACTCACGAGGTGCTGTGCTCTGATTCTACTGGTTATAGGGACCTGGGAGCTCGGGGTATATAAGGTGTTTACCATTCAAACCCAGTGATTAAGACAGCAAGAGCATGGGGACTTCAGCCATGCAACTTCCTGTCAGTCACTGTGTGGGGCACATTTCAGGACAGTGGACAGGGCTGGTGTTTAATAAGAAGTCATGAATGCAGGCCTAGCTGTCTAGAACAACGTGACTTTTTGACACATGAAGCATTCAGTGTATACCTATCGAATCAACATGTAGGAGAAAGTATGTAAAGCAAGTGATCATACTAAGGACACTCACCATGGATCTGTGCCCAAGGGTTTGGTCCGTCTGGAAGAGCACCCCATTAACACCATGGGCAAGGGACTTCACGGGCAGGTGTAGGTACTTAAACAACTCTGCCAGTCTTCTCCTCTCTTCTGGAACACTCTTGTTGACAAGTGAGGTCGTGAGTCTTGAGTTAAACTCTGCATGTGTTAAATATAAATATGTCTCTTAGGGCATGGTACACATTGTAAAGTTGAAAACAATCACTTTCAGTATTCATAGTTAGTCCTGGAAAACTTTTCTAAAGCAGAACTCCAATGATTTTTGATGTAACAATCTTTCTTAGCAATGGTTAAAATGAATAAATAATAATTTGTATTCTCAGAAGTAGTCTCAAATCCCTTATATGGCATAAATATATTTTTGAGAAATGGAAAATTACTTCATTTTTGCTATGAAGTAGAATTCTCTTCTATTTAATCTCCTCCCTTGAAAAACCACCATTAAAGTCACTCAAGCACTTTTTTCACTCTTTGAAATTAGCAGAGGAAAATACTAGTAGAGAATTATATGTTTTGTACATATTATATCAAATATATATAAAAATATTTTTATATAAAGTGGCACAGCCCCTGTGGGGAAAATATTCTGGCAGTTCCTCAAAAAGTTAAACACATCTAACATAGGACCCACCAATTCCATTGCTCTGTGTAAGCTCAGGAGAACTGAAAACGTGTGCACACATGCACTTGTATATGAATATTCTTAAGAGCCAAAAAGTGGAAACAATCAAATGTCCACCAGCTGATCAATGAATGGATAAACAAGATGCAGTATGTCTATACACTGAAATATTATTGAGTCATAAAATAAATGCTAATTATGTACCATAGCCCAAAAAAAATCTGGAAAAAATCGCGCTAAGAGAAAGAGGCCACATATTACATGATTCCATATGTGTGAAGTTTGCAATAGGAACAGACACAGATAGGAGATTAGTGGTTGTCAAAGAAGAGGGGCACTGGGAAGTACAAATTCATTCTGAGGATGATGGGAATATTCTGGAGGCAGAGCGCTATTAGGGGTGCACAGCATTTTGAATATACTACAAAAGCTACTGGATTATAAACTTCAAATGAGTTAAAATGGTGAATTTTGTTCTGTGAATTTTATCTTAGTTATAAAAAAGAGAAAAATATTTTTAAAAATTGACTCAAAAAACTCTTTGTTTTAATCAAAGATCTCTTTGGCTGAAAGAATTGAGACATCTCATTTTAAAAACATTGGCTTTTTACGAGAACTAGCCTTATGGGAACTGGAAAGAGAAGGAAACCAGGAGCGGTAAATGTTAAACGCTATTTTTAAGTTTCTGGATCAGACCTGGGTAAATTAATTCAATGCTGCATTTATTGAAGACTAGATTTCCAAGTAAGTAGTAGAACTGCATTCCATGATACAGTTTCAAAACCAAACCAAAAGAGAATCGTTTTAATTACCCAGACCTTTTTCATCCCTAAATTCAAAATTTTAAATTCTCTTTTCAAAAAGTTACATTCTACCACAATAAAATGAATTCTTGTCTTGAAAGGAAAACACAAACTGGTTTGAATCATTCCACCTGCATTCTATATTTAAATACTGAAATTAGATACAGTCCAAAATTAAAGAAGACCAGAGAGACTTGCATATTCATTAAAAACAGATAGATGGTGCAATTAGTCTTCATACACACTCCACACATATTGTGATAAATGTGCACAAAGGGAGACCTTATTAAAATAAAGTGGTGTTGTAATGACCCTTCAGAGGAAGAATGTCTGATTATAGTCTTAACAATTGGCACCTCCTCATTACATTTTAATTGGATGGATAGACGGATAAATGGGTGGGTGGATGCATGTATGGATCCACAGATGCATGGATGTGTGGATGGATGCACAGACCAACTTGCAAAAGCCCAACTGGTCTCCATAAACCAAAAAGAACACCACAGTACTTGACATAGGCAATGCATCCTCAGCACTATGCGTTTAGTTACCATATAGACTCTGTGACAGCAGGAATTCTGTTCTAATTCACAGATTATCTCCAGGGCCAGTGTAGTGCCTGGAATATAACAATTGTTCAATATATATGTGAAGGATAAATTAACTTCTAGAAGATACTTTGGGACCTTAGGAATTGTAAGCTAGCATAGTAATAGGGAGGCTATGAAAACCTATAAATGAGACTAACTTTGAATTGATGTGAGGGAGGAAAAAAGAGGAGAAAGGGGATGGAGAAAGGGATCATAATAGCTCTGGGGGAAGTGAAGAGAAGCCGGCACTTACTGATCATTTGTAGGACAGACTTCAGTGTTGCCCACATCAAATGACTTAACTCTCACCACAGTTTAGCAAGTATTGTTTCCAGTGTACAGAAAAAAAAATTGGATCAGCATAAGGAGCATGTGCAATGCCACAGAGCTACACGAGCTGAAGCAGGACTTTCCCCCTAAGACGTATTCTGTTCCCTAGTGACACTCTGGCTTGGCAGCCTTCACGTTTTTCTGCTTTTTTTTTTAGGGGGGGTGTTTTTAAAATTTTTATTGGCACATTTTAGATATACATAATGACAACATTCATCATAGGGAATTTGTATCTGTACATGGTGTATCTTGCTTATCCTCCCATAAGAATTTTAAAACTATGCACCTGATGAAGACCACTACGAAGCAGCCCTGAGCAGGACTTAAATTAGCCATTTGGCTTTTCATGTTTACTTGTGAGTCTGCCCAAGGCCTAGGCTGCTTGTCTGGAGATGGGCAGTGGACTCATAACCTGTAGTAAGGCCTGTAATGGTGAATGAAGCTGGAAAGCCTCAAAGGATAAGACAAGATCACAGCCGTGGACACCTGGATCCAGCCTCAACTAGATAAGGACTATAGCCTCAGGCATCTCACTCCTGGCTAGATTAATTTAACACCTTACTTGGAGAAGTCCTTGAAAGGAAAGCCCTTCTTGAGTACTCCCCTCTCCTGGCTAGATTAATTTAACACCTTACTTGGAGAAGTCCTTGAAAGGAAAGCCCTTCTTGAGTACTCCCCTCCCATCTTCTGATAACTAAAAAAATGTGGGCAACCCAGAGAAGGTCTTGGTCTAAGTCTTGAGAGAATCTGAAATTCTGTGAGAGGGCTCTGATTCTGCTGGAGCCCTAAAATCATTCCATTTGCCTATTTTATTTAGCTTTTGCTATGCACTCATTCAGGAGATTGCAGACCTGATCAGCCCACAATAACTAAGATATATTATTGACCTGACATGCATCCCCCCTTTCTTTAAACATTTAAGAACTTCATCTTCTCTATAAATGAAGTAGAGTTTACTATGAATTTTACATGGCTGAATTTTCATTTTGAATTCATATTTCCATTTTACTTCCCTGGATAAATTTCTACACTTGAAATTTTTATATTATAAATATTATATTGATCAATCCATCATACTTCTAAGCATTAAAAATGTCTGTAAATAAAATATATTTCATTTCCCATATTCATAAGTCTTAACATTTTTTCTTACAAGGCTGACTTTTCAATATAATTCTTCATAGTATATAAGTCACCAAAACTATAAGTCAAATTAAATCTTGATAAATAATTATTAAACATTAAAAAGAGCTTTACTGGAAATGCAGGGTTTTTGTTTCTTAATTACTTCAGTTAGCCCTAGATTGATTACCCTTCTTTCTGGAATGAGATGGTTTCAACAGCAATCCTATATCCTTTTTTTTTAATTTCCAAAGCTGTGGATTCTAAAACATCTTGTTCAACACAAATAAGAAGTTTTGAATGGAAAGAAATTGTTATACAAATGTCACTCAGTTACTTGAACTCCTTTGGAGTTGTATACTAAGGCTTGAATGTCTGTATCCTTCAAGAATACATATGTTGAAAGCTACTCCTCAATGAATTGGTATTAAGAGATTGGAGTTGTAAGGTGATTAGGTTACGAGGGTTGAAGCCTTATATTATGGGATTTCTGTCCTTCTAAAAGGGGCCTGAGGGAATTTGTTTGCCCCTCCTTTCTCTCCTGTGGGAATGCAGCAAAAGGAACCATCTACGACACAGACAGCATCTTTACCATACTCCAGGTCTGCCAGGGCCTTGATTTTGGACTCCCCAGGCTCCAGAACTGCAAGCAATAATTTTCTGTTGCTTATAGATTACTCAAAGTATTTTATTATAGCAGTCCAAAATAACTAAAATATACATCAAGAGCAATATAGTTATTTATTGTCAAGGATTATTTTTTACGACCTACCCACCGATAAGTCATCCTTCAACTCTGGTGAAAGCAAAAAGTTGGCTACACTCTGTCTCCAGGGACATGGAACCCATAAGTAGGGTGCTTTCTGTTCTCAGTACCAACAAGTGGATGGCTCTGTTTTGTGTTCACACAGCCAGTACTTACCCTCTGGAATAAAGAAGGGCGGTAGTATGTGGAGAAAAATAGGAGAGGAAGCCTTTCTTTTGAAAAGCAAGATGAAGAAAATTATGAAAGAGAAGATGAGAACTTTGTCCAAAGACAGCCCAATTCTGTAAAATAGCAGCTGAAAATATGAAAACTGGCCCTTTTGGTTAATTTTCCACATTAAGTACATAACTTTTGGGGATCTTCTTGTTCCCCAAGGACCCATGAACCTAAGTTTGAAGACCTCTGCTTTCTATGTGCTGTCAAAGTTTAAAAGCTCTCTTTCCACTGCTTCTCCAGAAACAGACTATAGATGACCTTAGGCATATCTTACATGTCTATCTAGCCCATGAGGCAGTCACAAAAAGTCACAGAAACTTTCTGACTCTCCTCCTGCCTGACTTGTAGCTAGCAGGTCACAGGTGAGTAGAGCCCCATCTGGCTGCCAGCCTGACACTGTTAGCAGCAATATGCCCTGTGCACTGAAATTCTCAAAATGGGGTCATGTATGTTATCTACAAGCACCTAGGGGGGGTTGCTTCAACCAAAGTTTTGACTGCACCAAACAAAAATATCTTAGTATTCAGCACAGTATGACTCTAATGTACCTTCTCACAAATTAATGGCTGTCATTTGGGACTAGACAAGGTGGTATATTCACCAAAAGCCTCATGTATTCAGAGGTTGGGCTGTGGAAGGTGACTGGATCAGGCAGCAGTATACACATCAGTGGGTTAATCCACTGATGAGTCCACAGCTGAATGTCCTGCTAGGAGATGCAGCCTAGTCCTAAGAAGTGGGTCATGGGGAAGTGACCAGGAAGGGTATTCCTGCCTCCCCAGCTCTCTCCTTTCTCTCTGCTTCCCAGCTGCCATGATGTAAACAGTTTTGCCAGATCCTTCCACTAGGCCCTCCCTACTTTGAATCCAGCCGACTATGGACTAAATCCTCTGAAAACCACAAACCAAAATAAACCTCTTATCCTTTGAGCTATGGGTGTCAAGTATTCTGTTCCAGTAATGAGGAAAGTAACAGAGATTTCAGTGCCAGAGAAACGGGTTGTTGCTGTGACTATACCTTACCATGTGGTTCAGAAGCCTTTGGAACTGGTTCATTGGAGGAGTTTGAAAAGTTTTGGAGATGTCAGCTAGAGAAGCCCTAGAATGCCATAGCCAAGCTGTATAGAAGATTCTAGTCACGGCTCAGGAGACCAAAATGGTGACAGAATGCAGATAGTAAAGACAAGGCTCAGGAGGTTTTAGTTGGGCACAAGAATGTCATTGGCAGTTAGGCTAGAGGCATGTGCAGAAAATTTGCTTACATTTTACCCATGCCCTGGGATTGTGCAGGACAGTAAGTTTAAGGTCAGTGGACTAATTAATCTGGTGGAAGAAATTTCAAGGCAGCCCAATATTCAAGTGGTGGTAATGATACTTCCGGTAGCTTTTAGCCAGAGCTACAATGAAAAATAGGAGCAAAAAGCTCCCTTGAAAAGTTTTCAGTTTCATCAGAAAGGAAATGCCTGAAAAGTTGAGGTCATGGAGAATGGGACTGCTGAAACTACTAACATGGGGGCGGGTACCAGGAATTGAACTCAGGACCTTACACTTGCCAGGCAGGCACATGTGCTGCTGAGCTACATCCCCAGCATTATTAATATTTATTAAAAGGTAAGTTCTTTCCATCAGGACAATAGTAAAGATGGTTTGAGAGCATCTCAAGAATTAGCAAGACCTCATCCTTCCCTGGGTCAAGTGTGTGAAAAGGTAAACTCCTTTAAAAGACTTTGCTTTGAGAAGAGAACTGCAGTTGAGCAGGGCCACCTAGGAAACTGGTTCTCCAGGATTTGGTTCACAGTGCTTAGCCACCCACTTAGAGGCCTCTGCAGCCATGATCCCAGGGTGTCTGGCTACTGCTTGAGCTGGCAAAAGACTTGGCATCATCTACATTGTGCTGTTACTCTCAGAAAGGGAACATTTTCTGTAAGTGCATCAGAGCCCCACCTTCAGCCCTGTTGTCAGGGGCACAGCCAGGCTTTCTATCACCTGATCCTGTCTCTCTAGCCATAGGAAGAGGATAAACTACTCATCCAAAGGCAACCCAATGCAGAGTGCAGCTTTGTGACAGCAGACTGACTCTGCACTGGGGACAGTACAAACAGAGACTCTAATTAGTCCTCTGGGACAGTTGAAATTAGCAAGCTAAAAAGAGGGGAGGAGTGGGGAGGAAGGAAGCATCAAGAGATGTCCCAAGGTACAGTCCATCATTAGAGGGCTGAGACAGATCAAGGTGAAGTGTAAGCTCGAATTTAAAGGAAACATATGCTGAGTAAGCATGAGAAGTTGTTTTCAGAGAAGAAAATGCAGAAAGAGGATAAAAGAGTGCTGAAAGTTGCCCCATTCTTTCACAGCATTTCATAGCAAATATCTTTTACTTGAGTGAGCTGACCTATGCAGCCCAGGTGGACAGAAGGCCACAGCCTTTGCTGCTGTTTCCAGGACTCCTCCACCCCAGTAGAGGCTCACTTCCTCCCCTTGCCCAAGAGGGAAGCTGAGTGTCAGCACCAGGCCTAGATATCCACCTGTGCACTGACCCCAGTAAGATCTACAGGCTCTTCCCTATAGCACCTGGTATGTATCTAGATGTACCCCCAATGCCTCATGCACATAGAGTAGGGCTTTCCGAGGGTGGGTGGATTCAGATTGTGTGATACTGGGATTAAGGCTGTGTGGCACCAAATTAGTCCACTGATTGGTTTGGCATACTTCTGGGTGTGGATAATGGAAAGGCCCACCCTGGATATGGGTGGCACCACCCAAAAAGCTTGTAGCCTGTTTGGGATGAAAGGGAAAGGCAGACTGTCTTCTGCTGCTGTTGCTACTTGCTACTGCTGCATCTGCCTGCCCTGCTTGCCATGGACTGTTTCTCCTCTGCCATGCCTCTCTGCCATGCTGCCCTGCCTTGCAGCCAGCCAACTGTGGACTGAAACCTCTACATACTGCTGGCTGAAAAAACCTTGCACCCTTAACTTTGGGTGTTGGGTTTTTTTGTCTCAGCAACCAGAAAAGTAACTAAGGCAATCTGTACAGCAGTAATTTCTAGCCATGTGTATTTAACAGCATTGTTTTGACCCCTTCCTCCAACTCCCCAATATTATTTTTCCCTTTCCCTCCTTTGTGAAAATGGACCCCAGTTCCTCTGGGACTGCTTATGAGCCTCTGCCCAATGTTTTCCAAATGCTGGATTGGGAACAAGATCTGAGATCTTCCAAATAATTATCTCCAATGTAAGAAATTTGTTTTCTCTGCAACATGATCCTGAAATGAAATACACCCTGCTGGGGTTCTCATCATTAGAGAAGGGGTGAAGCAATGGCTAAAACTGGGGGACCAGATGAAGAAGAGATGGGGACTGGACTCCCCTAGTCTCAAAAAGCTACAGGCTTAGTGTTTTCTCTTTATCCAATTAACACTGATACTCTGAGTTCTGTTTAATGATTAGTACATGTTTGCAGTACCTAATGATTATATTCATTGTGTGGAGTTGGTATAAGTACATAACACATCTTAATTTCTTTTTTATTCCCTTTCCCTCTCCCTTTCCCCCACTTCCTCAATCTCTTGACCCGCCCCTCCCATTTGAGAAAGATCTCCCTACAGCCAACTATCTATCTTTTATTTTGCTCTTTATTTATAATTTGGGTTTCTCATACAAGAAAAACCATGTGATATTTCAGCTTGTATGTCTGATTTATTTCACTTACATTATGGCCTCAATTCTTAAAGGTCCAGCTTTTGTAAAGAGATAAGCAAATGGCATTAAAGTTAAGAAACTACTCCCAGAAGGACGGCAAGGCTTGTGCATCTCTGTCCACTTTGGCACCATATTTGGAGACCTATAGCTTCCCTATGAAGAGTGAAGCTGACCAGTTCCCAACACGTGAGCTGGTTACTTGGTTATTCCTTTTTTTTTTTTAAATCTTTTAAAATTTATTTTTAAATGACAGTTATAAACATAAAAATTTTACATATGAGGTATGATCAAAAGTATGATGTTTACTTTTTTAAAAATTTTATTACAGTAAAAAACACTGTGATTAACACCCTTTAAAGCTCTCCCCCTTGGGTCAAGCACACTTATTCCACTGTTCTTGCGGCTTTCTGAAGCAGTTCTGGAAGTCCTCTTGCAGGAGTGTCTTCAATTGTGCTGTTATAGCTGCCTTGATGTCCTGAATCTACTCAAGACACCCACCTCTATGGTCATTTTTACTTTGAGGTTGAGCCAGAGGTCACATGGTACCAGATCTGGCAAATAAGGTGGGTGAGGCCACTGTAGTGTTTTTATGAGCCTACCTTTCCAGTGGATGCCACTTAGAAGCATTCGCCCTATTTGTTATCACGTCCTGTGAAGACACAGAAGAGCACTTTCAGAACAGTTTCAGAAAGTGGCACGTATGGTGGGATAAGTGTGTCTGAAGAGAGGGGACTATTTTGGGGCAGAGGTTAATGGCAATGTATTTTTTACTATAACATATTTTCAAAATCTAAACATTCACCATGTATCACATATTTTGATCATTCTTTGTATTAATGTGGTACTATGTTAGGTTTTAGTAAGTGTGTATACTGTATAATATTTAAATCAGGTTAAACACAACTATCTCCTCAATTTATCATTTCTTTGTGGTGAAAATATTCAAAATATTTTCTCCCCTCCTTTGAAATGGTACATAGCTCTTTTCTGCAGTCATCCTACTGTGCAACTGTACACCAGAACTTCTTACTCCTCTCTAACTATAATTTAGTGCCTATGAATCAACCTTTTCCCATCCTGCCCTCTCCCCAAGGCTGGTAACCATAACTTTCCTCTTAACTTCTATGAGATCAATTTTTTAGATTGCATGTATGAGTGAGATCACATGGTGCTTGTCTTTCTGTGTCTGGCTTATTTCACATGACACAGCGATCTCTGGTTCTGTCCATACTTTGCTCTTTCTAAAATCTCTTCTCTCTAGTCTGATTCCACCTGCTGACCTCCAAAGAGTTCAGGTTGGTCTGAACTCTTCAGCAAAAGCAGTCAATCTCATCACACATTACAAGGTTGTAAATGTGGGTCACGAATCTGTGTGGTCCAGGGACTACTGGAACGTAGCTGGAGCTTCGTGTTCTCTGAGAAGCAACAGGAAAATCTGGACAACTATTCAAGTAAATTCTTAAGAACAACTCTGAGTTCCAACTTGAACAGAATGCTGCTGGCCTAGGACCAATCCCATCCCACCCCTCCTTGCCTCTAGATTCAGCTGAAGTGTTAGAGGACTTCAGAGTCTTCAGCTGACACGGGAGTTGAGCTGTGAGGTCAAGGTCAAGTGGACCATACCTCAGCTCACCTAGAATTCTGTAAGTATTGATTTCTATAATCAACAGAAAATCTGACAGTAACCATAAAAATATCACACTTCGGAACCCCAGAATGGTGATCCATGTTCCAAACATAGGTACAAATGGAGAAACTAAAATATACAATGAGAAATATACAATGGAGAAACGGACTCAGACAAGCTGTTTTCCTCCAAGTTAAGGATGACATTCTTGACTCACATTCAAATCTCTTGCTAAATAAATAAATAAATGCCAGCCTCACAGGTTTCCACTGGTCTGTGTTGTTTTTGTTTTTGTTTTTTTCCTTTTGGATAGGGGTGAGTACTCTGAATTCTCTGGACCTGTCAGACTCCCCAGAACTGCCTTTGGCATGAGCTCCAGCAATACTCCTGAAGATTCCACCCCACAGGGCCACCTCCAACTGCAATATGAGGCTGCTACTTGCCTGGGTGTGCTGCCACCTCTGTGATCTTTCTCCTTCTCAAAGACCATCCACTTCCTCCCAGGTTAGTAGGTGCAAGTAGAGCTCTGGAATTAGAAGGACCTGGGTTTACTCCAGTAACAAGTAATTATGCAACTAAAATTTTCATTCAGTAGTGTGACCATGAGCAAGCCTTTTAATCCCTCTGAGCTTATGATTTTTCAGTATGTAAACATCATCAGTATGTAAAACTCATACCAGAGAGATTTACATGAGTCTGAGTTAGTACCTGGTCCAGTAACCGTCTCAGTAAAGAAAGGTGTCTTTCCTTCCTTCGTAATTTGTGATAAAGACAAAAAAGTCTTGCAGTGTACTGCAGAAAGCCCTAAAGAGAGCTTTCTGTAGAAACTGCAGCAAGCGGGAGACTCCACGAAGCAAGGAGACTTGATTTACAGAGGAAAGAGGATCTGGAGAAATAAAAAAGAAGAACATGACATGCCTTGTAAAGTAACTTAGTTGGTCTATTTGAGATGGGATCCAAGTCTCTAAGGCTGGTCTCTAAGCTGGTCTCTGGTCTCTAAGCCCTGCTCAAGAGATCCTCCTTCCTCAGCCTTCTGAGTATCTGGGTTTCAGGAATCTGCCACTGTGCAAGGCTTACAGTGCCTTTTAAAGATGAGGAGAGAACTTACTGAGAGGGGTAAATCCTCAGTTAGTGTGGAAGAAAGAGTACAATGAAAGACAATTCCAGGTAGAATGGCAGAATTAACCAAAAGCTTCTCTGAGAGGGTTCTAAGGAAAAGACTGGCATTAGAATTTATGAACCAACAACCTCCATCTGCATCCTCACCTTTTTCCTATTCTTCCTCTACCTTTTGCTTTTCCCCTTCTTTTTTCTTACTCTTTCTTCTCTCCCTCCACTGCTCCTCCTCCTCCTTCCACTTCTCTTTTCTCCTGTCCTGCATTTACGTCACCATCATCATCATCACTGTCATTATCATCCTCACTGTGAGACACAGTAAGAGTCAGTATCTACAGAGAGCCATCTATACGGTGAGCTGAATGCTATGAGCTTCACAATAGCCCTGTAGGGTAAGCAATATAACTGTCCTGTTACAAATAACTCACGCAGTTAGTAAGTGACATTTCCTAAGCTCAAACACCAAAACCTTCCTTACTAACCACTTCACTACAGAGTTTCATCATTCATAAAAATTCTTGAGTAAATATCAGAGAACTAATCTGTGGAAAGAACAACCTTAGCCTCAAGTACAGCAGGAGTGCAGAGAGCCGATTACAAATTAAAATGGTGCACAGATACAAAAACACTCTGTTCCTTGTGAACCCCAGAACACTAGAGCTCTCAGATGGATGCTTTGTATTTGAAATTTTAAGTCTAAAAACTTCTATGAGACAGTTTGAGGTCTTAAAGGTACCATCTCTAAATAGGATATAGAAAAGTCAAATGTTCAAGCATTTAAATGTTTAAACAAAGAAAGAAAGATTTCGTAAAATGTCCAAATGAACATTAAGGTCAAGCAGAAATATACAGGTGGGGTGCAGTTGGTCCTAAGGGAGGCACTATTCATGGCAGCCTTGGTTTTTCCTAAGAAGAGCTTTACCATCTCTTTCTCCCAGCTGTATGCCTGTCTTCTGTCTGGCCTCTCATCCTCCCTTGCTTCTGGGAGGAATTGACTCCTAGAGATCCAGAAACTCCCTAATAAGTCTCAAAACCAGAAACTAGACTCCAGGTCTGGCCATTCTGGAAGCTAATAAAAGACTCAAGGGCATCCCTCAAACCCAGGCTTTAGAGGTATGCATCCCATGGTTTACCATGGGCCCTAAAGACACATGCAGTGTGGACTTTGGACATCAGTAAGCCCCTGAGCAAAGCCAAGAGGATGTCCTGGGTGCTGGATGAGCCATGAATATCATGGCCAAAACAATCAGCGCATGAAAACGTCACAAAAGCATAAAGACTTGTATGGTCAAAGTAAGATTGCTCCCTCATCCAGAAATTTGGAAATGCATCCTTTTAATTTCAGACATGAAAGGCAGAAAAAAGTTTACATTAAGTTTTTACAACAAAAAAGTCAATGAATGGGAATAAAAAATATACAATCTAATATATGTTAAAAGAAAATATTCATAAATCTAAAATACGATGATGTTTTAAGGTTGAAGTGACCCTCTGTAAACTAGGTTGGCACTAACAAAATAATTTACTTCAGACATCGCCTCCAGACACTGACTACCACAATAAACACACGATTAATTACAGAAATACCTATCGGCCTGGGATAGAGCTCAGTGGTAGATTTCCTTAGCCTATGTTAGGCCCTATGTTTGGAACCCAGCACCACAAAAAAGTAAATTACCTTACATTGTGTCTATGCTACATAATAAAGGCCTACATAAAAGTTTTCATAGTCTATGATTTTAAAGCAGAGGTAGCTGCTTGAGAGGGTCACCAAAGGTGGCAGAGACAGCAAACACAAAGACATGCAGCAAAGGGGTGCATGTGGTGAACTTGGGAAAACATGAGGAGCTTGGGATGACTGAGGAGATAAAACTCAAGACTAGATCTGGGACAATTTGATTCTCTTCTAGGTAGTGTTAAATTTCCTATGAAGGCACAGGGGGCACTTCTGGAAGCTTTTAAAGAAGCACAATCCTGACTGGGTGATGGGTATTATGGTTCCCCATTTATTTCCAGCTCTGTCTGGGCATACGGCAGGTCCATTTCCCCTACCGCTTACATGATGAAGCATAGTCGTACGACCCACTGGGCCATGAAACACGAGTGGAAGTAGTTATGTCACATCCAGTGGAAGCTTTTAGAGCAGTTTTAATTTGGCCCATTCTCTTCCCCTTCAGAGGCAATCAGAGACGGTGAGAATCACATTGGTCAGGGCCCTCTTGAGTGTCTAAACCTTCCAGGACATTTCTGACGGGCTATAAGCAGAGATCCTCCACACCGCCTCCCACCTCCCACCACCTTTTACGAACACACAGTGTAAATGGAAGGAAAAACCCTGTAACTACAAGCTGCTGGATCTAGGAGGTTGTAACTTCCCCCAAAATAGCCTGTCCTTCCTGAGAGCACGTGCAGTTTCAAAGGGTAAGTCTGACAACAGTGAAGAATGAATTTCAGAGAGAGAACTTGCAGTGGAGGAACCCAGCTCGAGGGCCCTGGACCGCCTGGGTGATGAGTGCAGACCCAGGGCAGGAGTTGTGAGCTTAGAAAAGCAGTGATCAAACCGAGAGATGTGATGACAACAACTGACAGGAGTTGATCACACCTCTGCGACTCAAAAGCACTGAAGAGTCTCATTGTTTCGGTGGAGTTGGAAAGAGACAATTTTTGAAATATAAGGGATGACTAAGGGAGGAGATAGAGCTTAAAAATATTTAAAAAGGAGGGATGAGCAGCCGGAGAAGTGTGTATCTCAGCAAAAGCAGAGGCCCACTCTACAGGATGAAGGCTTCAGGAAGATCATGACTTTAGAGGAAAACAGTCCTGAGTGTGAACGCTGAGTGAAAAACTACCTTCACTCATAAATTCAGCCACACACACACACACACACAC